TTCTAATAGGTTGTTAAGTGTTATGGATAAGTTGGAACATATGAGAATTAGTGATGATGTTTCCAAGGTAGCTCCAATATTCTAAGGAATTTATTGTCGTGGTGCTAGTTATGTTTTGTTGAGTTAGAACCAACTCATAACTAACCTCTCAGTGGGTTTTCAGAGGCTGTGAATCACAGTGGGAGGAGACTGTCTATCTTTCTCTTGTGGAGTAGCTGGTGGATTCAGACTACATGCCTTTGTGTTGGTAGCACAGGTCCTTACTACTAAGTCACTCATTGTTGTTGCTGTTGGTATGTGGCTTCGAGTTGGAAATGACTGATAGCTCACCCACTAGTGGGTTTTCAGATGCAGTAAATCACACAGAAGGAGATTGTCCACCTTTCTCCCACAGATCAGCTAGTGGATTTGAACTGCATGCCTTTGGGATTGCAGCGCAGATTCTTGCCGCCAGAGCTACCCTTTATGAAGGTGGTGGTAGTTGTGTACCGAAGAGTTGAACCCAATCCATAGCTGACCTTCTAATGAGTTTTCAAAGGGTAATTATTTGCATGGGAGGAGATTGCCCATTCTCTTTCCACAGAGCAGCTGGTGGCCTCAGACCACACGTCTTCAGGATAAAGCAAAGAAGGATCTAAATGAGACGTAAATATGAAATGTTATTTTGAGTAACAGCTATCCTTTGACATAGCACTCTCCCAATGGGGTTAAACCTGTGAGGTCTTCAGTCCCTAAGCACAGTTTGCTTTTCTTTTTAAAAAAATCTTTGATCCTTTTATATTTGTCAATATAAGATTCTGTTCTCAAATATTCTTGGAGACCTCAACCAAACACACCAAAAAGAACTTTCCTGACCTCTTTAGATTTTACAAAACTTCCTAATATAGGAAAGACCCCTGGGGTCTTAGTATGTTATGTGTTGAGTTGGCTGTTTGAACCCAGCAATCAGTTTAGTTAAGGCCCTCGTCCCCCATATAGAAGTGCAACTCAGAAACCCATTTGAGGGTTGCTGTAAGGCAGAATTCACTTTGCTGCAGTGGTTTTGGTTGGATTTCCATTTACTTTTCTTCAGAAGATTCCCAACTCTTATAGGATGAAAAACATCTTTGCTTGTTTGTGTTTTCTCTGGCATTAGGTAAAAGAACACTAACAAAGCATGCTCATCTGCTCTCCCATATAGCCAGCCCATTTTTATTGAGCTAGGCTTCGACTTGTCAAGTTGGGTTTGTAGAAGTGAAATGAAATTTACTCCAAGTCTTTGCCTTTGTGAAGATTAAATTTGACTGGGAGAGGCAGCTAAATAGATACACTGAACAAAACGATGTAAATATTATATATTGTTGTTGTTAGGTGCCCTTGAGTTTATTAAGATTTACTGTGATCCTGTGTAGAACAGAACTGAGTTTTGCCCTATCCTGTGCCATCTTCACTGTCTCTGATATACTTCAGCCCATTGTTATAGAAGGTCTTTCTCTGAACCTCTACCTTTTCTTGTTTGATTTTGTTCCACCCCCTAAGGATTGGCCCCTCACGAAAACATGCCCAGTGAATATGAGACAAAATTTCAACATCTTGCCACTAAAGAGTGCTCTGGTTGGACTTTTTCTAAGAAAGACTTATTTCTTCTTTTGGCATTCTGAGGGATCATCTGGAATCTTCTCCAGTACCACAATTCAAAGACACCTAATCTTGTTCTTACTCATCCTTATTCATCATACAGCTTTCAGTTATAAGTGCTTAACCGAGGAATAAACCTATAACTGTGCCATGGATTCTGACTGAGGGCACTCAGAATGGTGATGCCAATGCTGTACAAAAGAGCTATAAACTGCCTTACCTTTGGCCTGTGAATGAACTGTTGCTGTGTACCATTGAGTCAGAACTGACCCCTTGCTTAACTTTCAGTGTTTTCAGATGCACTGAATTAATTGCCTGAGAGGAGATAGCCCATTTTTTTTTCTCCCAAAGAGCAACTGGTGGATTTGAACCCATGTCTTTGTGTTGGCAGCATAACTCCTTACCACAAAGCCTTAAAAATCCTATGGCTCTAAGTGAACTAACTCAGTTCCATAGGGGGAGGGGATTATCATGGGGTCGCACAATTTGATGGGTGGAGGGAGGGTGGGATAAAGGAAATAGGAAAGATCTGGTGTGAAAACAATATATGAACTTTGTTAGTAAACCAGTATAAAATAAAAAATTTTATTTAAAAAAAAACAACCCATAAACCCCATGGCTTGAATCAGGTGCACTGCACCTTAGTCTTTAAACTGACTTCCTTGCTCTTTAGCACCTTGGAGAAGTCTTTACAGATTTTCCCAGTGAAAACACCTTTTGATGTCTTGAACTGCTATTACCATTGGTTTTGAATGTGAATGCAAGTAAAAGAAAATTGCTGACAATGCCAATCTTTCCAACATCTGTCATGATGTTGCTTATTGATCCAGTGATCAGAATTTTTGTTTTCTTGATGTTGAGGTGTAATTCATATTGAAGACGATAGTCTTTGATCTTCTGCAGCAAGTGCTTTAAGTAGTTATAAGTGTTTAACTGAGGAATAAACCTATAACTGTGCCATGGATTCTGACTGAGGGCACTCAGGATTGTGATGCCAGTGCTGTACAACAGAACTACAAACTGCCTTACCTTTGGCCTGTGAATGAACTGTTGTTGTGTACCATTGAGTCAGAACTGACCCCTTGCTTAAACTTCAGTGTTTTCAGATGCACTGAATTAATTGCATGAGAGGAGATAGCCCATTTTTTTTTTCTCCCAAAGAGCAGCTGGTGGATTTGAACCCATGTCTTTGTGTTGGCAGCATAACTCCTTACCACAAAGCCACCAGAGAGTTGAAACTGATGACTACTTTATTAGCAGCTCAACACTTAACGAATTATGCCACCAAATGGCTTTGGTTAGCCTTAAGGTATATTGTATGTGTGCCTTTGACTGGAAACATCCTCATAGCTCACCCCCCAGCGGGTTTTCAGAGGCAGTTAATTACATGGAAGGAGATTATCCATCATTCTCCTGTACTTACAGGAAACAGAAATGAATAATTAAGTAGTTTATTAGAGGAGTCTTTGCAAAATTTACTGGATAGTAAAGAAATGTTTCACCATGAATGTGACTTGAGTTAAGATCTTCAGAACCTAGCAAAGTGACCTATATTAATTTCTGGGAGGAGAGGATTTCAGACAGAGGAAATAGCCAATGCAAAGGTCGAAAATGATCAGGTACGTTAAAGAAATATGAGGATAGAGGCAGTAAATAAAATCTGTGAGTTCAAGAGGAGCCAGGCTAAGGAGGTGACAGTACAACGTGAGAAATTTATGCCCCTCAAGGCAGAGTTTGAAAAAGAAGGCTGTGATGAAAATCTGTATTTTTCAAAGATCACTGTAACAACTCTTCTGATGAAAGATTAACCAGAACAAGGACGGAGGGAGGGAGGGACAGCAGTTAGGAGAGTGGGGCTGTGATTGTGTGATGGTTTGGACTAGGATGGTGGTGGCGGGGAATGTGAGAATTGAGCAGTTGCTGGATGTGTTTCTAATGAACTGTGTGAGCGTAAAAGTGCCAACAGGCTTGAAGGCTTTTCCTCTGGGCAAGTGAATGTTTGAATTTGCTCTTAATTGTTGAACCAGAAGTGCTGTAAGAGAAGCAGGGCATTGGGATTAGGATCACACTCTGTGTTGGCCACTTGACTTTGGTGATGCCTCTTAGCGGAGATGTTGAGTAGATGGATGGACATCTAGAGATATTCATCAGAAAAGAATTCCAGGTAAGGCTATTGGGAGTTACCAGCAGGTGGTTGATATCTGAAATCACAAGGATGGCACAGATCCCATACTGTCTCTTGGATTACTTACAATAAAGTCAACTTAATATTTTCAAGATTTTTAATGAAAATGGTGACTTGTTTAAAAAGAAATCATTGTTGTTGTTAAGTGCCATAGAGTCATACATGACTCCTAGTGACCCTATAAATGAAACACCTGAGTTTCCCGAAGCAAGCCATTTTTGAAGTGGATGCCACTCCTGCTTTCAAGCTTGTTTTAACCGGGAAGCTCCATAAAACAACTGTCCACCACGGGTAACCATTCTCGCATTTGGCACATTTGTGTTGAAGTAGTCAGCATCACAGCAACCACGAGTTACCTCTGTACAGAAATGCACAGACCAGAGCTATACCACTTAGAAGAATGTTTGACAAAAATACAGTTTAAACCAGGCCTGAGATTAAAATCACCCACCTTGGGCTTGGTAGCATGACTTTCTGTCCATTAGGCCAATTTAGGGTGGTGGTTGTTGTTGTTGTTATGTGCCGTCGAGTCACTTGTGACTCATAGCGACCCTATTGTACAACAGCCCTAAACTCTGCTCTGTCCTGTGCCAATCCCACCGTCTCTGATACACCCATCCTGATTACCCCAGTCACTGAATCAATCCACCTCATAGAGGATCTTCCCCTCCTGTGCTGTCACTCTACCCTACCAAGCATGATGTCCCTCTCCAAGGACCAGTCCCTCCTTACAACATGTCCAAAGTATGTCAGAAGAAGCCTCAGAATCCTTGCCTCCAAGAAGCAGCCCAGTTTGACCCTTTCCAGGATGAATCTGTTTGTTTTCTTGGCAGTCCATGGTACCCTCGATACTCTTCTCCAGCACCACAGCTCAAAGGCATCAATTCTCCTTCTATCCTCCTTAGTCATTGTCCAACTCTCTGATGTATAACAAGTGGTAATAATAGTAACACTCAACTCTTAAAGACTGGAAATAAGTAGCAAATCAAAATTCAGAAATGGAGTGAATTGGGTGGAACATTCTAGTTTCATGTGTATTAATTACTCTCTGATGTATAACAAGTGGTAATAATAGTAATACTCAACTCTTAAAGACTGTGGACATAAGTAGCCAATCAAAATTCAGAAATGGAGTGAATTGGGTGGAACATTCTAGTTTCATGTGTATTAATCTTTGCATATGTGTCTGTTTTTCTAGGCCAGACCTGTTTGATTGGAACAGTGTGGTTTGCCAGCAGTCAGCTATACAACGACTGGAACATGCATTTAACATCGCTAAACATCAGCTAGGCATTGAGAAACTTCTTGATCCTGAAGGTTGGTTCATTTGTAAACTAATGCAGTTCTTCATATAGTTCCACATTTTTCATCTTAGACTTGCCGTTACTGGAACACAAAATCAGGGAAAAGTAGTTTATTTCTCCTCTATGCTTAGTGTATTTTCAAACTGTATTATGAGTTATCCCATATGAATTTAATTTTCAAAACACCAGTATCAAAGGCCAAAATGTAAAATGTCAGTGGTAGAACGAAAAAGCAAGCATTTATAGCATCTGACTTTGAAGTGTAAAACTTGAGTGGTTGAACAAAGTGCAAACATTTGGAATACTTATGCCTTATGATTGTAGAATGCTGCATTTGGAATACACTGAGTCCAAATAATGTTAAAAGTTAATGTTTTACTTATTCTACCAAGAGATTTGATAGACTAATCAGCTATAATTAATTAGATACACTTGCCAATCCCATTCATACACTCTATAAAAAGTAACATGGTTTACTATTTAAATTAGTAAATCTATTCCTGGCACTGCTTCTGTTTTAATTCGTCACTCTGAGGAAGTCTTGTATTGCATATTTATTCATTTTATGTTTCCTTATTTACAAGCAGCACTGTATATACATTTTATTCTGTTATACTTAACTAACTTCCATCTTTATCTCTTGCACTATATCATGGTAGTCCTCAGACACCCTGACAGCGCTGACAGTTTGACCTTTACTTTTCTTATATCCTTTGAGTTCCTTTTTTCGGTATGCCAACTTCTTTGAAGCGATGACCTCATTTCTCACTTTGAAAAGACTTCATTCATACTTGTTGTTGTTGTTATGTGCCATCGAGTCCTTTCCGACTCATAGCGACCCTATGCACAACAGCTCCAAACCCCGCTCTATCCTGCGCCAACCGCACCGCCTCTGACACACCCATCCCGATTACCCCAGTCACCGAATCAATCCATCTCATAGAGGGTCTTCCCCTCCTGCGCTGTCCCTCCACCCTCCCAAGCATGATGTCCCTCTCCAAGGACCCGTCCCTCCTGGCAACATGTCCAAAGTATGTCAGACGAAGCCCCAGATCCTTGCCTCCAAGGAGTAGCTTGGTTTAATCCTCTCCAAGATGAATCTGTTTGTTTTCCTGGCATTCCATGGTACATTCAGTACCCTTCTCCAGCACCACAGCTCAAAAGCATCTACTCTCCTTCTGTCCTCCCTAGTCATTCATACTAGTAAGTGAAAATTGGAGAATCAATGCCAGTTAGGTTGATTATGATATCATAGAAGTGCTTCTTTATTTCTGGTTTCAGAATCCAGTGATTCTGGGGGTAGTGTGTGAATTCCAAAAGAGGAGACTATTAAGCTATCGCAACAGGTCGCATCAGGCAAAACTGAAAATTATACTCATTCCCTACTTATCACCTTGATTTTTTTGGAAAGACCATATTGTTATATAACAAATGGAGCATGACCACATCAAAGCACAGAAAAGAAGTTGATGGTGGTGTTCCGTATCATTACATCATTACGTAACTTCCAGAGCATTGAGAATCATAGCTAAGTCAAGTAAACACATAATCTTACTGCCACAATCAACATTTCTCTCCTTTCGCATCTTAGCATTTGTTACTCCCTGACATAAGTGGCTAATGTACAAAAGAGATGGCCAGTAGAATTTTTACTATTGTAAATGTGAAATATTGGATGGCAGTACTGATAATGGAAGAGTAGGTATAATTCACAGGGTAGCATTAAGACTGGTGAATTTATGGTCAACCAGAGTCCAGTCCTCTGTGTTACAGCCTGATTGCCTTAGCGTCTCGACAGCAGATCAGTCTTGGGCAAGGGAGGGGAGGGCAGGCTGACTTTAAACAAATGAGAATGGGAATTCATTAACTTTAAGTGAGAGATTTAACCGTCCCCAAATCCAGTGTATTGATGCTCAATTCACCTATCCACCTCTCAGTGAGCACTTGTACTTGGGATAGCAAATTCAAAACAATGCAGTCATGACTTTGCAAGGCTGAAATCAGATTAAGCTCATCGGAAATGCTTCGTCTCCTTTTGATAACACATGGCTGAGCATTGACTTCAGTATCCTCCTCGCTGCTGCTTTTTTAACTGGCCGTCACCACTCCTGTGACAGCTTAGATCCAATTTCCTCATTTCGCCGCGTCGAGGAGGGTCATCTCACTGTGGATGGCAGGTACTGATTCTCCTCTTTTCCAACATGCCTGTGAGGAAGGGAGGACAGATGCCGTGAAAATCTGGACACTAGCCCCCGAGGATAAGAGATAATGTGTATGGATTGGAAAGATTCGCCTCTTGGTGTGTATGTGTGTGAGTGTATCTATGTACATATGGTGTTCACTTTACTCCTCCTGGGACACAGAGTCTGGTTATTTTTGCTTTCCCTCCTGTTTTATAAGGCATTAAAAGTGTGTTTATAATAGAACTTTTTTTCCTTCTTATATATTAAAATGGCTTTTGACCTTCAAGTTCGTTTTTAAATCAAGGGAGCATTTAGATTGGAATCCGCATCATAATCAGAAATTCTATTTCTGAACCTGTAATCAGAAATGGCAATATATTAAGTAATGTGACTGACTGGATAACAGTACTCTGCTAAGTCCATCTCCATATGTTCTAAATGGAAAGCATATGTTGAAATGTGTATTATATAGGCATTAAGTGGAGCATTATTTCTCAAACTTGACAATTTAGTCAACTGAATGTAATGAGAGCCACAAGCTGATTAATACCAAAGGGTCAGCAGTTCAAACCCACCAGCTGTTCCGTGAGAGAAAGATGGGAAGCTTCCTCTCATAAAGATTTATAGCCTTAGAGGGTCAGTATGAGTCAGGAGGTATTCAGCAGCAGTAGATTAACCACAGACTGTAATTTCCTTTTACCATTTAAATCTTGAATCTCAAAGCCCTTTTCTCTTATCGATTGCAAATTCAAAGAAAAATTTTTCCTCTTAAAACATTTGTTCAAATTTACATAAGGGTTCTCTGTAAGGTAAGGAGCCCTCTTGATATGGTGGTTTGCATGTTGCGTTGCTAACAGAAAGGGCAGTGGGTCAAATCCCCCGGGTTCCTCATGCACTAAAAGTGAACTATCTCCTCCCATAAAGAGTATAGCCCTAGAAACTGATTGGACGTTCTGCATGAGCCAGAATTGACTTTAAGGTAATCAATTTTTCCATAAAGTGTTTTGTTTCTTTTAATCAGTAAGCTGAAGATTCCACATAGAGTTTCAGTTCAGCTTTTCAAATGTCTCATAGAGTTCTTACTAGTATGTTAAGGGTAATATTCAAGCACGCATTTAGATATTATTACTAGGTATTTTTTTCAGAGACTATGTCAACAATAAGAGAGCCAAAGAAATATGAACAAAGTCCTGAGGTCATTACTGATTCAAGAGCCATAAAAATAGAACACTGCTTCAGCTTTAAATCGTAGAGTATTTTCTTTAATGTTTGTAACAGATGAGATTTGTGGATATCTGCCATGTATTGCATAGTCATTTTGTTTCAGTTCATATTTTTATTTTTATATATTTTATATATTTATCCAAATATTGGTTCTTTACCTTAAGTCTGATTATATAATCTAATTTCAAGAACATTTTTCATTTCATGTCTAATAAATACTCAGAATTCTTCTTATTATTCTTTGCAATTAGCTTAAAAATGCCTGTCAAAAATGAGAGGGTTTTTTTTAAAATTTCTTTTTATTATTTTATGTGTGTGTGCGCGCGTATCGTCAAATTGGATCTGACTGGTACCGGAGGAGATTGTCCCTCCTTTCCCGGCAGAGAATCTGGTGGATTTGAACCGTGCACCTCTGGGATTGCAGTGCAGCTTCTTGCCACTAGGCCACCAGAGCTCTCCTGAGAGGTGTTTTTTTTAAAAATACTTTTAAACCTTCTATTTTTATTGGATTGATTCATGAAGAGTAAATGAAATATCATATTGAAGTTTCAATATCTTTCTTTGTATGACAATTTGTTGTTTTTATTTATATTCATTCACCTTATCAGTTTGAACTTTTTTTCATATTTGACTGTAAGGTTTTACATTTTGTGTGTTACCTACTCCTATCTTGCCTCTATTTCTATTGGAACACTTTTTACTTCCTTATTGTTTTTGTTGATATTTTCTTTTTAAAAAAATTATTCATTCATTGCTTCACTTTTTCCCTCTCGGTATCTTTCGTATATGCAGAACTTGAGATGTTTTGTTTGGCCATATGAGATATTTTGAAACTTAAAATTTAAATGGTGTCACCTTATAAAATGATTATTAGTAGTCTTTAGCATAAGCAATTTGGGGAGCTGTAGTATTATTTTGTGTGTGTGTTTAAATGTTAACAATTGTAAATAATACTTGTCGTTTGCCCTTCACTTGGAACGAACTTATAGCTGACCCTCCAGCAGATTTTCAGAGATAGTTCATTGCAAGGGAGAAGATTTCAGTGCAGCTTCTTACCACTAGGCCACCAGAGTTTTCTAGGGTAATATAATTTAATAAAAAGTGGTAGTGCTTGACTAAGTCTGCAACTTGGAGGCTCCTGAGAAGTGGTCAGATTCCGGAAGGTGGTTTCTTATGTCTCAACGAGGGTCATGTATGGAACCTTAGGTTGGTTTTTTAGTTTTGGTTTTCGTTTTGGTTTTGGGGGTTTTTTTCCCATCCACAAGTGGGTGTCAGCTTGATTGGGCGTGCCAGATTTAGCTAACAATGATCTGGGGACTGGGGTCTCTTGATTTATACTCAACCAGCATTTGATGGGTGTGCCTGTACTTAAAAAAGCGGTAGGGCCTTTGGATCTACTGTTAATTGATTTTGGGATGAACATTCTTTTAAGTGGTACAGCAGTGCTCTATTTGCTGTACTGGAGTAACTTGGAGTTGTCATACATGTGTCATACACCGTGCCATACGTGTGTCTGACGCCATAATGGTTACCTATTGTGGGCTGTGTTTGGTGGAGCTCCCAGATTGATTCAGGTTTGGAAGCAGGAGCGGCATCCATTTCCTAA